TGAGTATCAGATTGTTCCATCTCATTTCCCTTTGGGGTTGCTGTAGGTGATCCAGAAGTCTGTTTTTGAGACTTGTTTACGTTTCTTCTCATTTCCACAGGATGGGGTGCTTCTGGCACCCACGAGGCTCACCTTCTGTGCCCTAGGAGCTTGGGATGGCAGCGGGGGAGCTTCCTTCCGGGTTTTGGGACCGGCTCAGGTTCTCTGCCCTAGGAGCCTGGGATGGAGGCGGTGCCAAAGATTACAATTTTTAATCAAAATTGCATACAAATTAAAAGCCATACAACACACAATGCAGTAACCATGAGAATGAGACAATGAGAAATGGCTACCTTTGTCTCAAAACACAGCCTTTGGACCTGTCACCCTCCATCACAGCCACACCAGGCCCGGCCTCCTGCACTTCTACCTGCGCTATCAAAGTTGCTCACCTGACTCTTCCCAGCATCACTTCTGACCAAAAAAATTCCTTAACACCTTCCTTTTGCCCTGTTATAAAGAGCAACATCTTTAATGGTGTCTATAAGCTAGCCTTTGCTTTCATCTGAATCACTTTCTCCCCGGCTTATCATAATTCAAACTCTCAAAAATCACTTAAATATAATAAGCCTTTTTTCTTTTTCTTACTGTTAGTTCTACCAAAATCACACCTCTAACTTGTGCACACAGCTAGCTGTTTTACATTGGTATTTCAGCCTATGGACAATTGCCTTCGAAATGTTTTCCCTCCCATGCAATCAAAGGAAAATCTTCATTTCTTCCCACCCAAATGTTTCCACTTACCACCATCCAAACTATGCACTGATACTTGTACGTCTATGCGTATTTGGTGTCTACAGCACTGCAAGCTCCCTGAGGGATTGAACAGAGTCTAGTTTGGGGTTAGCATTTTCTCCATGGCCCCAAACATTGCAGCATGCACAGAGTTCTTAGCATTTCTGAGTGAACACTGACGGTATACCCTTCCTAGGATCTACTTATCTGGTGTATCAAATATGCTCACAGACGTACCGGTATTTCACCTCCGTGTGCCTTTGATTTTAGCACAGTTTAATAACAGTGATCAACTTAATACTGAGATTCTGTTATATTGAATAGTACCTAGGTTCACAAACTTTATTCTTCCCATGATTCTGGTCACAAACCAAATTGGACGAGAACTGAATCAAATTCAGTGGTTGGGATCAATGTTGAACATGTGAGGAAATTTGATTCGGGGGCCAGAGCTCCACTTCTCAGTGCCACCATAGGCCAAACACAAAGGATGCACTATGAAAGACAAAACTGTACTCCTGTTGGCTAATATCCACATGGCTCCCACTGATCTTCAGCCTTCCTTTTTTTTTCAGAGGGCCAGCATTGTTCTGGGAAGAGTTAGATTGACCTTTGATTTATCATCAGTCTCATCAACATCATCATCATCATCTTCATCACCATCATCATCTGCCTTAGAACATAGATTAGGTGTGTTATCGTCACTTTTCTAAAATTTTCCCATCTGCCATCCCTTCCTCTTACACCTCAGACGTCTCCATCCTTTAAAGAACACACAGCACCTTGGTATAGCCTGTTTACAAAGGGCCTTGTACGGTAATTAGGGGACCTCAGATGCAGCTCTGGGCCTGCCATGATCTCTATATACCCTTGACTGAATCATTCAAATGTTTGATCTCTAAAATAAGGAGATATCCACCAGCACAGCCCTGACTGTTTCAGCTGCAATTGTTACGGAAGGTAGATACATGCAGTCATTGGCCCCCTGTTCACCTTTACTCCCTAACACTTTGCGCATCAATGTTCTGACTATCTCACTGGATCACAAAGGGGAGAAATTACTTTGAATAGGGAACAGTGACCAGGGACTGGCTGGAGTGTGGGTAAGGGAAAGCACTTAAAGTAAACTTTCTGGGACTCGTGCTGCTAACAAGATTCAGAAATCTATGCTTCTCAACAGGTCCCTTCGAAGCTTCCATTGACTACACAGCTTTGGTTTTTCCCAGTATGCTTTCCTCATATTCTGTAGACAGATTATACTAAAGACATTGATAGTGCTTATTTTCTATAAGAAAACCTAAACTCAGAGGTCACCCTAGCTCACAGAGGTCATCCAAGTAGTGGGGTTGGGGGAGAACAAGAGGAAGCCATAAAAACCACGTCTGATCTAAAGTTCTCAGTCCTCCACTAAATCTCAGAAGCTCCAAAGCCAGCAGCCTGGTCTCCCAGAGCACACTGCCCACCTCTCAGAGCTGCTGTGAGTGAGACTATGCTATGAAGGTTATAAAACCCATGGATGTACCCTGTAATGTCAAAGAAAAGAGCTTA